GTGTGTGTGTGTGTGTGTGTGTGTGTGTGTGTGTGTGTGTGTGTGTGGGGAAGACGGGCGATGCGTAATGCAATCAATTAGGCGATGTTTTGAAGCTGCATTGGTGTCCACAGTATGCTTTTTTCGATTCCTCCCGTCATTTTTCTATCTTTCATTCCAGTCGTCATCTTTCTCTCTCTCTTGTTGTTTCCACTCCGCTCCTTTTTCTTTCTTTCACGTCTCGGCCTTCCCAGCCTTGCCCCCCCCCCCCCTCTCTTCTTCTTCTCCTTCTGCCTCACACTTGCTCTTTAAGGGAGGCCATTTATTTGAACTGCGCTCCCCACTGTGCTGCCGCTTTCGGGCGAGGTCTCTCCCTCTTTCTTTTTTCCTCTCTTTGACTCTTAAATCATTCTTTTATCTGTTCGCCACACAGTGATTGAGGTGGAAAAGAGAAAGGAATGGGGAAAGAGGAGAGGAGGGGGAGGGGGGGAGAATTATTTTCTCCCACCTTTCAGAAATGATGACATGATTGCTTTCGCTTGATCATGCATCATCACCCCGCTTCTCTTCCCCAGATAAATAGAATAGTTTGTCTCTACCTGCCTCTCCCCTTCTCTCCCTCCTTCCCTGTGCTCGCCAAGATGAGGATTATCTGGTAATAGTTGCTGCTGGCGTTTAAGTCAACCACACCATCTTCAATGTATGTGTGTGTGTGAGTGCATGTGTGATGACTGTTTGTCACGTGGATGTTTTTTAGTCGCCATGACTGTGAGTTAGTGTGCTTTTTAAGTGTTTAACTACCATCAATCGTCCCGTGTGCGTGTTCTTTTAGTGTGTGTGTGTGTGTGTGTGTGTGTGTCTCTCACTGTTGATCTCTGTGTATCTAACCTTTGTTCCCTCGGCCAGTCAGTGGGCTGGTATTTATCCAGCAGCCACTAATGCAGCGGGCAGGAAAGACGAGACAGGAGATAGGGCTGTGGAGATGGCGTGGACATGACAACCGGCCATATGGACTGCGTGTGCGTGTGCGTGTGTGTGTGTGTGTGTGTGTGTGTGTGTGTGTGTGTGTGTGTGTGTGTGTGTGTGT